TGTGTACGCCAGCGAAGAAGATTTAGCTAATGAAAAGCCTATTCCTTACTCGTACCCTGATTTAGCGACTTTTGTCAGAGACATGAACCTTCTCTGTACAATGATCGCTGATGGCCCATTAAAATCGTTTTGCTACAGAAGGCTGAGTTACCTTTCATCGAAATTCCAGTTACATGTATTGTTAAATGAGCTTAGAGAACTTGCGAGTCAAAAGGCAGTTCCACATAGAGACTTCTATAATATCAGAAAGGTCAGTATACAAAAATAATTACATTAAAGAGTTACTGTATTTCAATTCCTAAGCTACTATATTAATTAAAAAGTTTGTATTTTACAAAGATCCAATTTGGAGCTTTATACCATACAAAAATATTTTGCAACATAATTATTTAAATATCACCTGTTCTAAAGAATTGTTAGAGTTAAATTCTTATAAAAAAAAAAAAAACTAATATTTTATGCTTGTTATAAAATTAGAAAATAGTGTAGATTTAAGCAAAATTGTTGAAACATTTTTATTAATTTCAGGTTGATACACATATTCACGCAGCATCTTGCATGAACCAAAAACATTTGCTAAGGTTTATCAAGAAGACTTTGAAGAATCACGCAGACGAGGTTGTCACATGTTCTAAAAGTGGAGAAACGATGACCTTACAAGAAGTATTTCAGTCTATGAATTTGACGACTTATGACCTCAGTGTGGACATGTTAGACGTACACGCGGTAAATGCGCATTACATTTTTAGGAAGGTAAACTTGAAGTATAAAATCTATATATAATCTGTATTTTAGGATAGGAATACGTTCCATAGATTTGATAAATTCAATGCCAAGTATAATCCGATCGGCGAGAGTAGACTTCGTGAGGTATTTTTGAAAACGGATAATTATTTGAACGGCAAATTCTTTGCGAGAATAATTAAGGAGGTGGCCAGTGACCTTGAGGAATCGAAATATCAGAATGCAGAATTACGTCTCTCGATTTACGGCAAAAGTCCAGAGGAATGGGACAAATTAGCAAAATGGGCTATTCAGAGTAATGTTTATTCGGATAATGTTCGTTGGCTCATTCAGATACCTCGACTTTAGTAAGTACCTGCATTAAACGTTATATATTAGAATTTATAATTAATATTTCTTAACTATAAATCATTGTTTGGTTACAGTGATATTTTCAAATTAAACAAGTTGATGACAAACTTCCAAGAGATCTTGAATAACATCTTCCTACCACTCTTTGAAGTGACAAATGATCCCAATTCTCATCCAGAATTACACAAATTTCTTCAATATGTAAGTAATTTTGATAAATTACTTAGTAATTTTATAAACTGGTATAATTTATTTAATTACAGGTAATAGGATTTGATTCAGTTGATGATGAAAGCAAGCCTGAAAATCCATTGTTCGACAAAGATGTTTGTCCACCTGCAGAATGGGTTGACATTGAAAATCCTCCCTATGGTTATTATCAATACTATACATACGCTAATATGACTGTTTTAAACCATTTCCGAGCGTAAGTTTAATTTTTCAAAGATATCTCTTCAATTGCCAATTAATGTAAAATAACTCTGTTACGTTTAACATTGAGGCTTCTAGGTGTAAACGATGATCAGAAGAAAGAAATTTCTAACTAAAAATGCACTGATATTAATGTACATATAATCTAAAGATCTCACATAATACCTATGTTTTAGAAGCCTTTTGTTAATCACAACAATTTACAGTGTGAACCATAATTTAATTGTGACAATCCAAATCATATCTTCGTAATTCTAATATGAAATATGTTTTGCAGGGAGCAGGGTTTAAATACCTTTGTTCTTAGACCTCATTGCGGTGAAGCCGGTCCCATTCAACATTTGGTGTGTGGTTACATGATGGCAGAAAATATTTCGCATGGTCTTTTGCTTCGGAAAGTTCCAGTACTACAATATTTATATTATCTGGCACAAATTGGGATTGCTATGTCACCTCTCAGTAACAATTCTTTGTTTTTAAATTATCATCGTAATCCACTTCCAGAATATTTAGCAAGAGGATTATGCATAAGTCTATCTACGGATGATCCTCTTCAGTTTCATTTTACTAAGGTTAGTACAATACATAAGGTTAGTATATTCTATTTAATATTTGTGCTATTTATTTGTGCTTATTTTCATAATTTTCTGTGTATTTATATGAAAATGTTATTTAGGAACCTTTAATGGAAGAATATAGTATTGCTGCACAAGTGTGGAAACTCAGTTCATGTGATATGTGTGAATTAGCACGTAATTCAGTGCTAATGAGCGGTTTTCCACATAAGGTATGAAATATATATCAAAACATGTGTTTTTGATAAATAAAAAAATATTATATAAATAATTTACTTTATTTTATAGAGTAAGCAGTATTGGCTAGGGCCAAATTACACTAAGGAAGGAGTAGCTGGTAATGATATTACTCGAACAAATGTACCAGATATTCGAGTAGCTTATCGATATGAAACTTTAGTTGACGAATTATCAAATATTTTTAAAGTTGTTGAAAAACCTGAACCTGTTCCATTTTAATTGTTAGTGATAGTACAAAACATCTTAAAATATAATAGTCATTCTATAACTGCTAATAATATTCATAAACTTTTATGAAGTTTCGACGAAAATTATTTATCGTTCAAATTCTATAACGTGAAAAATTACACGATTGATCTTCAAAATCATCGTCAACTTCCAATATATTTTTTTTAACGGTTGTTTTTTAATTAACTTTATTCTGTTAAAATTATTTTTTAATATTAAGTTTAAATCATTTTATTTTAACGTTAGATTATAGTTATATTACAACTTTGCATGCTACATCTATACATAACACTTTAAAACTCTCATGTTCTCCAAGTAAAAATACGAGTTTATTATTATATTATGCTAATGTAAATTAAGTTACAAACAGGCGGTTTTTTACTCAATTTTGACGTTTTAAAGGACAGATAATTAGTTGAATAGATACCATATAAGATTGTAATTTTAAGCATTGTTACTTTTAGTATTTGTATTAGATTAAGTATTATTTTCTATAATAAAATATAAAACATTGCAAGGTAATATTTTATACAATTATATTGAAGGTGTCACTTTTATTTCTTTAATTTAATATTAATTTATTTTATTCTATTTCTTTTTTTCGTTTATAGAACAAAAGGTAACAAAAGAAATATAAATATTCGATATCATTCTTCAGTCTGGGATTTCATTCCTAGAATATCAATAATTAGAAATTAATTTATAATTTTTCAACTTTCAGAAAATCTAGCAAACTTTTATATAAACTAAATGAATAATATAGTCATAAATTATACAAAGAATACTAATATATCTATTGAGCGACCCACTTACAGAAAGATAAAACACTTTTCTGTTTCTTTTGTCATTGATTAATTACTTTTTCGCAATGTACAATCTTTTAAGACACTGTGTGATTATATCGTTGACGTAGTTACTGCATAAATGTTGTAAGTATATACTATTTTAGGCGAAATTAGTATATGTATATAATACATAAGAAGTTCCTACCGTACGTACCAATTTAATATGCGCACAGTTAGTATATTGAAATTTAATACAGTAGAACTGTAGAATTGTTGACTTTTTTGACATTGTACCCTAATACTTTTTTACGCAGAATATTCTGCAGAATTAATCTATGTAAAAAAAAGCTATTACATATAAAAATTTTAATATGACCTTCATTGGTCGATTCAAGGTTATCAAAAGGTGAAATAAACAACGGTGTAGTATATACCCATCGATATCATACAATCTTTGTTTTGTTGCGTATGATTCATATTTGTAGATATTCAAAATCGTTAGATAAACCAATCATTTATTGAAATAATAGAAAAGTATTTAAGAACTTTAAACTATATTTTCTCGAAAACAATAGTTTTGTACTTACAACATATGTGCGTGTTATCGATACATGGTACTAATTTTTGAAAAGTAGAGTGTTAATATTACACTATACATACTTAATGAAATCAACATATACCTCATTGTAATTCTGCATAATTTATATTACATTTTTATATCAATACAAACATCAAATTTAATTTGATATTCAATTCAATAATTTTGATAAATTATTCAATAGCAAAATTGTAATTTAATGTTATGAATCTGTTGTTTAGTTTTTGAGACAATCTACCGAGTAACTTTGTATTGGTAAACGTGAGATATATATGAACATTTACGACCATATCTATTATATTATTATAATATTAAACAATAATTGTTGCTAGCTGAAAAAATGTAAGTATTGCATAAAATAAAAATATACATACTTGTACTGTCGATATAATATCACGTTATTAATCTTTAACTACTGAAACATTTTATATGTCATAAAAATATTTTTGACAATGCTGTGGACCTAAAGCTCATAAAACTAGAAATATTTACATAATTAAAAGTAAATAATAATATAATAATAAAAAAAAAAAATTTATATATGATACAAAAACACATGCAGTGACTTTATATTATTCAACTTATCTTTATTGTCTAAAATTTTAATAAAAGAAATTTATTTTAGTGATTCATTGTATATATTGCAGTGAAAAAATTAAAATGGATGATTTTATAATTAGCAACACATAATATATATTCCTCTTAATACTCTCTTACTTTCATTCCACAAACTTGTTATAGTTTTTCAAAAAATATTTTATGTAAATATTTTCTTATCAGATTACGATAAATTAATATATATGCCGCGTATTAATTTTATAATCTTACACAAATTCATTGTATAAGTGTATAACTTATTTACTATGATATAGAAGAGCGTAAATATTTAAACACACGTTTATAATGTCTGCTGTTACTTTATTTGTTCTTTAACATCTTTCTATAAATGTTAAAAGTTAAAAAGTTATAGGTTTTATATGTAATAGAATATCGTGAAAAATATTCATTATATATAAAATTCATATCTTTTTACTTTTTTCGTTAAAACAAAATTAGTTTATAGTATAATGTATTTCCTGAGAAAAACGTCTATTTATTAAAATATTGTACAATGTACAAACAAAAAAATATATATAGAAAAGACCATGTAGTTCTTGTAATTCTGATGAGTAAAAGAATACTTACATTTTCTATTTATTTATACTGGATTAATAGTACATAACATTTTGTTTGTTTATTCAATGATGTTTATTATTGTACTTTCTTAGTTTTCTGTGTTGATTTCAAACTATCTACAATCTTTGGTACTAGTTCCGTGAATATCACAGTCCCTGCAAACACCAAAATGGTACCAATCCAATGATAGATTGTGAAAGGATTTTTGAAATATATTATTGAGAAGATCAAGGACAAAAACTTCCTTAATGTTATTACTAAAGTTACAGTAAGGGATGTGCATTCTGTTATTAATACAAAAACAGAACTAATGCACATGTATCTAAAAATATTGTTAAGGATAATAAATAAATTAATATGCTAAATTTTTAATGTATGTTCTTTTGATATTAAAAGAAGGATACTGTGTAAGAATATTTCCTACAAGATATACAATTAATTTTGGTACACCTAAGTTAATAACTGGCACATGCATTGTATCTGATGCAAGGGCATATGTCAAGTGTTCCCAAATATTAGGAGCCAAAGTTAAGAAGAATGGCAAAGGTAAAAGATGCTGGAAAAGAGTATTTATCATTACATACATGTTATTTTAACTCTATTAGTAAAATAGTAATATGATACAAATGAAAGCATACCGTATAATACAATGCTTCCCTTGCATTTTTTCCATATTTTTCATGTAATACTTCTTGATAAATACCCATTCTGGCAGATACAAATAATGCTATAGTCAGTAACGATATACCCAATATCCACCAGAAGAAATCATCCCATGGAGTGGTAGGTACTTGTTCAACATTTTTAGCTTGTAATGATTTAATTTCTTTACTGCTAACAATCGTACAGATGACAATTCCAAAAGTTATCATAAATACTGATAAATACTTGCTAAATGCATATTTCTTGTTTAAGATAATAATACCCATAATCATATTGGCTATCAGAGAACCCTAGATAAGATACATACCATATAATAATTATGTACATATATAAATTATATTGGTGTACTTACAGCTCTGAATATCATATGTAATGGCATAGGTATATTAAAGTTAAATGCATAATTATTGCAAACATTAGTAACAAAAAACATTGTTACAAGTAAAAAATAATCTTTTATTCCTATCTTAGGTTTTACGGTCCCACATTTTGAAGTAAATAAAAATCCTTCTACCGATATAAATAGGAACTGTAAAAATGTAATAAGATTTCCACTACCTGGGTCTTCTCTGAAAAAAACTCCATTATTACTTTTTCATAATTGAATTTAAAATATGATACTTATAGCTTTTCAAAAATCAAGAATTACTGTATGTATACACTTGAAGATAATTTATTACACAATCTTATACAATAATTAATAAAATAAATATAATATTTACTTAACAAGAAGCTCTAAAAAAACGACGTTGCTGCAACAGCCGAGGAATACACAAAATACTGCAATAATTGCACGCATATTAGAATACATTACTAATTGTTACAAAATTTAACCTAAAATTGTTTGCAAGTAATAAAATTGTTCGTTTCACTATGGTACTTGCAACTCATGTAGGATATGTTATACTGAACAAATTTTTAAGAAGTTCGACTACGCAATAGCATGACATATCATTTAGACATCATTTAACGTCTTCCTTATATATGTACGCAGACATATAGGAAAATAGAGATACCGCTGAGTACACGTGAAGCAATTTATGCGGATACTGTAGGCTACTGTTATACTATACATATATATGTATATATATATCTCTATATATACAATATATGTAATAGTTTATCAAGTACATAAGCTTACATAATGTACATGCAGTAACCACGATAGCCGTCGGATATATCAGAAAAGAATATTCGTTACTTTTTGATTTGTAAATTTTCAGATTTACAAGCTTTCAAAGAACCATATCATAATAGAATTTTTCAAAGAATGATATCATAATCTAATACGGATTTTGGCCCATTCGTAAACAAGTTCGAAATACATATTTATGCTTAAAGTACAATGAGTCATTTAATAATATCACACCCTCCAGTACCTTGTTACGTTATATGCGTGAAGAGATACAAGGGGTCAAATATATTGCAGGGTACAGACTATTTTAATCAACCTGTCTCGCAAATTAATGGTGAATAAAAACAAAAAAGTAAAAAGTATTACTACATATTGGTTAAAAATAAATGGTGAAGGAAAGAGCTGGATAAAAATGTATTGTTGTATCTATATAAATGCAAGTACTATATTTATGTTATAAAAGTAATATGATACCTAAATCATGCAGGATATCAAAGCATACATTCATTGAACGAAGAGCATTTTTATTATGTTTGACAACCCCATTGTTGAGGCAATTTTCAACTTTTCACCTCGCACATCTAATGCGTCTTTAACGCTAATCTTTATATGTATTTCCTTAACATGTCTCAATGAATATTACACGTTGATATACATATAATTCATTAGTGTTCATTGTATGACTCAAGCAGAACACTAGATAATCGTATCTGCTATGCAAGTCCTATTATTGCAGATATCGTAATTCGCTTTTATTGACTTCTTTCCTTCGCCATTTCACTCAGCCAATACATGAACGCAATATTTTATTTGCAAGATAGTAGCCTAAATTAAAATGATCCACACCTTATAATACATTTGACCTCGTATATCTCTTCACATATATAACATAGGTACTGGATAGTGATATTATTAAATATCTCATTATACTCTAAACATAGATATGTATTTCAAATCGAATGTCCCAGAATCTACATAAATTCGAACACGATTCGTTATTTTGGGAATTTTTTAAACTTCTGTGTGGTATGTTCATTTATCAAATTTTTTCTGAATGCTACACTGTAGGTATTACTATTAAAATATGAGAATTAAAAATCTTCAAAATTCGGAAATCAAAATCTTGTCATATAGTTTATATTCCTAATTAAATATATGTAAACACATAGGTACTAAAATCTTGTAAATGTTTGGGGCCTTTGGAGGTTTTAATTCGGCCCTGCAACTATAACTATATGTCCACATGCCTTCAAATTTATTTACGTTAAGTTAGGTTAAATTTTCAAACGACGTTGAGAATCAAGAAATTTAATAAAATTTCTTTTTATAGTTAATTACCTCTTATATATTATAGAAACTGAATTTGGCGTTAAAATTTACTTTTTTTCTATCGTAATGACTATTTCCCTTATACTGTTTTTTTTTTACATAAAAAATAGTTAATAATTAGTAACTAACAGTATTGATTAAAATTCGAATAATATTATGAATTATGAAACATGATAGGGAAAGATTTATCGCGATATCTCTTATTAAAATGTAGCTAGAAATAAGTAAATGTGAAATTCATATTTTAATTTATTTCGCGCCGAATTTGTTATACTGCAACGCAAGGAGCAGGACAAGGATGGCGCTAGACACCACATACTACAGTGATCCTCAAGAGAATCACTACATACTACATATGTGATACTCGCCTTGTGTCGACTATGTTTGCGTGAGTTTATGAGGCGTATACTCGCGACACGTCTGTCACATAATAAATATAAGATTGACCACGGCAAAACTTTTAATAGTAGTAACCTATAATAATTCCGCGAATTTTATTACGGCTATAAATTGTCCCTGTTCTATAGATTTGTCCGCTTGTACTGACAACTGAGTTAGCCTCCAGATTTACAAGTTTAACGAAGAATTTAAACAAAGAAGAAAATACAGGTGTAATTGGATACATGGAAAAAAGAGACGAAGGGTGAAGACGACGGTTTTATCCGTTTTTATATACATATCAGTATTTGTAAAAAAAAATGGCCCAACTTTCTGATTGTAATCCACTTTCGTATCTAATCGCAAGACAAATTAATGACAAAGTCGATTACTGTAAACGCCTCGTTAACGCTAGGTTCAAAAATTCTGAAAATCTGTTCAGAAAGGATCTACTGTCCCATTATGGATGCGTTAATGCTATCGAATTTTCGAATCAGGGAGATCTTCTTGTTTCCGGTAACCAATAACGTATTTCACTTATTTTATTTTATACGGTGATATGCCCGTCGATTTTGAACATTTAAATTTGACGGAAAATTAAGACCGTATAATGTCACGAATAATTTTATATCCTTATAAAAATATCACTTTTATAATTATATTTTATAAATATTCATGACATTTTGTTCAAAACTAAAGTTTCTTGCTTACAAGATATATTTTGGAATGATTGCTCAAAGAGAGACATAATACAAATCATGAAATTGTTATATTAATCATTTGACAGGTGGTGATGATAGACGGGTTTTATTATGGAAAGTAGAGCAAACGATACAAAATGTGGGTAAACCTGTTGTAATGAAAGCGCAGCACATTAGTAACATTTTTTGTCTTGGTTATGACAGTAGTAAAACAAAAATATTTTCTGCTGGAAATGATGATCAAGTTATTGTTCATGATTTACGAACGTATGGATACTGTTAATTTAAGCAATTTACAAATAATTACGTACAATTTGAACTGTTGTTTTTCTTCCATTATAGGGGTGATGTTGTAAATTTCTTTTTGCATGAAAAACCAGTCTACGGACTGTCAGTTCATCCACATAATGATAATGTATTTGCAAGTGCTTGTGATGATGGAAGAGTTCTAATTTTTGATATACGGGGATCTAGTGCTATGGAAACCTTTTGTTTAGCACAGTATAAAACTGCTTTTCATTCTGTAATGTTTAATCCCATTGAACCTAGAATGCTTGCTACTGCCAATGCCAAAGAAGGTGTTAGCTTATGGGATATACGAAAACCTTTGGAGTAAGAAATACCATTATTTCATGAAAATTTTAAAATGGAACAAGTTAATTGTCTTTTTTTTATGTTTAGACCAGTACTACGTTATGGAAATGAAAGCTCAGCCCAGAGTTGTATGAATGTTACATTTAATGCAGCTGGGAATAGATTATTAGCTTTGAGAAGAAGATTGCCTCCCATACTTTATGCTGTTGATTCTTCAACTCATTTGTGTCAATTTGATCATCCTGGATATTATAACAGCTGTACAATGAAATCATGTTGTTTTGCAGGAGATAATGATGAATATGTTCTTTCTGGTATACTATAATGATTATAATTTTTTTTCAATATAATAACAGAATTTGTATATGTGATAACTAAGTAATTAACTGTATTTAGGTTCTGATGACTTTAATTTATATATGTGGAAAATTCCCTCCGAAGATGTAAAATGGGTAAATTCTGCACATATGGTACTACGTGGACATAGATCTATCGTTAATCAAGTACGATACAATCAAGCTAGTTGTATTATTGCTTCATCTGGAGTTGAAAAGCTGATCAAGATTTGGAGTCCATTTCCTCTTGGAAGTAACTGTTTGGGTGGATTAAAGGTAGTATACATTATTACAACTTAATTGTATTCTATTTTTCTAATTATATATATTGTTCTTTATATGTTTATGTTTTTAGAGGGAAGATGGTAAACAGGAGAGACAACGTAGAGTATTTACGCATAATGAATACATTGGATTAGTGTTGAGTAGTGGTCAGTTCATGACACACGATTATAGCCACCAATCAACTAGAGAAGATTCAAGAATGATGGCATTCTTTGATTCTTTGGTACAACGTGAAGTGGAAGGCTGGAGTTCAGAAGACATGTCAACAGTACCAAGAACACCCAGTGATTCTGAAAGCAATCTTTCAGCAGAACGTGTTTTTATCGTTAGTGATTCTGATGGTATGTTTTTTTTATACTATACTTTACTATATTAAACTAAAAATCATATTTATATATTTATATAATATATACATTTTTCTTATAGAATCTATTTCGTCTGATGGTGAATTGGATAGACAATGGTTACGTATTTTGGCAATAACACCACCTGGATCTTCTGGAGGAGTAGCTCCTGAAAGACCTTTGCAGCCTCCAAATCGTATAACACGACTTATAGCATACCGGCGAGAGAAACTTATGAGACTTGCAGCTGCGGATTGCGAAACACCAGCAAATAATGCTTCTGCTGCCATATCCGAACCGTCAGTGTCAGGTTCAGCTAGTGACGGGGACAATGCACAAGTTAAGTGTAAATCTAAATTAAAATCAAAATTAAAAGGTGTAAAAAGAAAACACGGTAAAGTTTCTGATAGAAGAAGTAGAGCTAGAAGAAAATGTGCAGTGTTACAAATTAATAGTGATTCAGATAGTGATGAACAACTAGTTGATACGACTCAGCCTAGTACCAGTTCTGGTGTAGTTTCTAGACGATCCCAATATGTTGTGAATGCTATTGAAAGTGATGCAAAACATTCAAATTATAGCAGTAGCAGTTCAGAAGATAATGATAGTTCTGGTAAGCGAAAATATGCAAAAATTGATTCTGATACTTCCACAAAGATACACAGAAGAAAACACAAAAAATGTAAAAATAACGCAAAAAATGATACTACCAAAAATAAAAGCAAACGCCAGAAATTTGATTATGATACAAAGAAAAAGAAACCAGACTGGAAAAGTTATTTGAACGGCGTTAGTACGACGAAAGTTCAAGAAGATGGCCCATCGACACCTGTGAATAAATCGTGCAAAGTTCCTTCGACTCCTGACAGTGGTATTACATCAGGAGTTTCTACAACCGAGAAACATGAACAAACACAGAAAGATCAAAACGATGCTGAAAGCTCAGATCACGAGCAAAAATTAAAAAATTTAGAATACTTTAGAAAAAAGGTGGATGTAGCAAGAAGGAGCTATTGTAATCGATCTAAGCCTTTATCGCAAACCATTTCAACTACAACTGATTCTTCCGATTAAACTCGTGTTACCTTCAGCTCTTTAATCTTTTTCCTTTTGTACATAATGAATCTGTGATTCCTTGAAATATATTTTTATAATAACTAAGTTTGTTCACATATTAAATATGGTTAATCTTTTTCTATCTTCTTTTAAATTTTATCATTTTTATGTTATCTTTATAAGAGTCCCATACAATATTAGAATCTCTTACAGTACAAGACTGTTGCAGTAAAATAAATCTTCTTTTCCACCGTATTTAAAATTGTCTTTACAACATATTTTACAATTGGTACAAAAAAGTCTCAAATTCAGCATACTCAAATATGTAAAATTATTAACAACTCATACCGTAATTATTTAGGATTCAATTTCTTATTACAAATATAAACATGTTCGAAAATGGTCATTAAATCGTATATAATCGAAATTATAATACCGTCGAGAATTATAGATAAATTAATAATGCATTAGCTTTAATAATCGACTTAGCTAATGTATATCGTTGACGTGGTTTGTAAGTGTGATGAAAAATAAAACAATAAATTAATATACATTTTTTTCTTATATGTTTAACTTTGAAAACAAATTAAGGATATTGCATTATTTAATCCTGCATTTATACGTCTTTATTAATTTATAACAAATAAAAGAAAAAGTATATCAATTTTTGCATTATTTTATTATCCGATAACAATAATTAGTCTACGCGTATTTCAATTTTGATAAGTGTTTTATTATACAAATTTAATTACACAAGTAGTTTTTCATAGCGTTTGTTCAAAAATATATAAAATAAGATATTAATTTTGCTTTTTTTTTACAAACTATTATTTCATCTTTGCAAACATTCACCGATATAGAGACCAATATGAAAAATGCCTATACCGTGTAATATACATATGTATATTATATATATATATTTATAAATATTTTCAAAACATTATTATGATACAATAAGATGCCTACAATCGGTCATACAAATATTTGGACACTATATAAATGAAACTTATATATGAACACAAACTAATAATTGTTAATTAAAAATTAACATTTTATGGGATATCTCTTTTATTGCATAACATGTATTGATATGTTATCAACGATTGTTTTTATAAATTAATTAACCGTAATACGTGGACATTCTTCTGTAAGACTTTTTTTAATTTTGTTTCTGAATTTATAATGGTTTTGCAAATCTTTAGTCAAACGTAGATAGCAAGTAATTCGAGTCGGAGCGATTTCAGGTGCTTCGAAGTGTGGCGGGAAGCTCAAATATATATTGTTACCTCTCATTTTTTCAAGATTACAATAGAATTTTTAGAAATTTAGAAATTTCGTAGTTTAGAGCTGGCAGATTTGAGAATACATTTCAAAATATTTAAAATTTTCAAATTTGTAAATTATAAAATTTGTAAATATTTAAATTCATACATTTCCAAGTCCTAAAATTTTCAAATTTCCAAATTTAACAAATTCTAAATGTGGAAATCTCCAAATTTCAAAAATTCAAACTTCGTAAACTTGAAAATTTTTCACCTAAAAATTAACGAATGGTGGGGTTTCTTTTTCCTGCGTCGCCATTTTGTTTATAGAATCCCATCATGCTCAGTGTATATAGCTGCAGCTGCATCATTTATTCATTTTTTAGATGTATTACGCCGCCGGTATATTTCTGGAAATCGATTCCAAAAACTGGAAATAACGATAATGTATTATCGTAGGCACTACCTTGGTCAATTAACGAGACTTTACTATAAAGACTCGTTTAAGCTGCATAAGCAACTAGCCCCGCCATTATGATATATTTACAAATCGTTCGAAGCGAAATGAAATTTATGGCAGTAATGTAATTAAGTATATAATCTTTTTAAAATTGTTTTGTATAACATATGTACTTTCCTTTGTGTATGGAAGTTTTTATTAAAATTTTAATTTTGGCGGTGCATATTTATAAAAAGGTTGAGGATCACTGATGTAGGAACTCGACGATGGAAATTTCCATCTCTTTTATCCCTGAACTTGTTTAACGTATTCAGTTCATTTTTTTATCATATATATTTTTAAATTCAATGTAATGTATAATTCTTACCTGTAGATCTTTTTTAACGGTCACAAACATGTTTGTTCCAATAAAAGTCACCAAATGTTATTGTGTTGTAAGAAGTATTATAATTAATATAAGAAGTATAAAATAAATATTACACGTCTAATTAATATTTAACATTTTATATTTATTAATATTTTAATGTATAACAATAACGACGATGATGAACGCCCGATGACAATAATGATGACAGAAGTATAAATCACGTTTGTTTCCTCTTTTTATTATAGTAATTAATTATTGCTTCCGCAGATTCCTTCATTTTTGGTTCGATTCTCTTCAATTTTTCTAATGATTGTAGTAACTGATCAAGTTCTTCATTTTTTACTGGAGAAAGAGGTGATACATCGTATTCTTTATTTTCACTCGATATTTCCTCTTCTTGACACACGGACATCCATTCCATCACTTCCTTGCCGGATATCCTGCCCAAACGTCCCGCGATTTGTTCGTCGTTTGAGCAATTTTCTGTTTTAACGTTGAACGGAAGATCTGTGATTTGTTCCGTGGTGTGTTTACTATTAATACAAGTGTTCATTTTAACAATGTTATTGGACAGAAGTTGTCCTGTGATTTCTTCATTGTTAATATAAGTCTCTGTTTTAACAACATTACTGGACGAGATTTGTCCCGAGTTTTGTTCATCGTTAATACAAGTCTCTATCTTAACGTTAGTGGATGAAATATGTTCGCTGAAAATGTGATTCTCTGACTTAACATTATTGGATGAAATTTGTCCAGTGGTTTGTTCATCATTAACGCAATTCTCTGCCTTAACAATTTTATCAGATAAAAGTTGATCCGTTTGTCCATCGTCCACACAGTTTTTTGTCTCAACAATGTTGGATGAATGTTGTTCCGTGATTCGGTCGCTGCGCGCGCAGCTCTCTGCGTTCACATTGCTGCACGCACGTTGCCTTACAATTTGTTCCTTATGACACTCAATAGAGTTATCACAAAACTGTGCGATCGGTTCATCGTGAACGAATATCTCTGTCTTAACAATGTTACTGGGTATAAGTTGCTCTGTCGTTGTCTGATCATCGTATGTATGATCTCCAGCCATTACAGTGTCATTTAAAAGCGTTCGATCGAGCACTTTCATCCAAGAATCAAAAATACTTTTTGAAGAGATCTCATTCCATGCTTCACTGATCAGATCAATGCAATCTTTAATGTCATAATTTGCGTAAAAGTTTGTGATGCCGCCATTACATTCGAGTGCCTGTGGGAAACGCACATTTATGAGAACCAAAATAAATAGAAAACACTTCGAACTATTAACCAGGATCGAATCGCTTTGGGTGTTTCAACACTTGAAAAATTTTGATATCAAGACGTAAACCTTACAAAAAAATTCTATTTTTCAAAGTGGCACTTCGAAACTTTCAAGGTCAACTTGATTCTTTTAAGTGGAACCATGTATGTGCTATTATAACAGCTAGTTTAGAGAATATTTTAATTGTAACATTACATGGATTGTGAATTGACCCGTATACCAATAATTGGGTCGCCATCAAATGATCTCTAATACGAATTTAACATTTTTTCAAAAACCTAACTTCTCCGAATTATTTAAGTAATCCACATTTTTCTATACAGCTTACATATTGTTTTTACTTTTTATTCTGTGGAGTTTATCATTTTGGTAAATGATTGATTTATGTACTCGAGCACAGTATGGTAAATTCCCTAGGGAAAATGGCGATGTAGAAAGTCTTATCATTATTTAATTCGAAAAATTTGAGAACAATTTTTAAATGAATTTTGAAAATTTCATGTAATGTTATTTTTTGTTACATCACCACCCTTAGAGTAGACTACAATTGTGCCCCTTCCCATTACGTCACCATTTACCACAGTCGAATCCTAAAATGTTCTCGCTGTCATGTACAGTGTATTAAAATATTTCCACCCTTTACGTCACATTCGGTATGTGACAGATCGTTAAACGTACCCGGTTAAGTAACTTATGTCGAAACAAGGTTTTACATTCGGTAATGACTCCCTGCTCCATCGGTTGTATTAACGTAGACGTATGGGGAGGTAAACAAATTAATTTAAAATAGCCATCATCAAGCTCATCTTTTCTGAGCTTATGACCCTTAACATTGTCGACGATCAGTATTACTTTGCCCGTGCGACGTTGTAGCGACTGTCTCTGCCACACAGCTTTCTTAAAATCGTTGCTGTACCATTCTCGAAATATGTCCTCGTTTATCCCAGCATTGGGCAGATTTTTGTACGTCACGGGCAACGTATGACTATACTGCTTCAATGCCCGGGGCATCGCGAATTTATGTACAAACAGTATCGGCAGCTTATGCGTGCCAGTGGCGTTCGCGCAAAATCCTACGGTTACTCTGTCCTTTTTCGTATTCTGTGTCTTTTCATCAGTTTTGGTTAAAACTCTTCGTGGGAGAAATTTCCACAACAGACTGGATTCGTCCATGTTATATAAATCCTCGTGAATGACGCTTTCTTCTATTAACAATCGTGAAATTTTATGGACAAAACTGTCCGCAGCCGGTTCGTCGGAGTCGGTCTCTCCCTCGATGTCAGCGAGACGCAAGTTGTATTTCTTCTTCCAATTCCAAAGCCAGCTTCGGCTGCCTTTGAAATTGGACGCGCTCTCGCACTCCGCGGCCATCTCTTTCGCTTTTTTTAGTATAAGAGTGTCCGTCAAACGATCGCCTGATAATTTCCTTTGGACAAACCAATTGTACAACTTGGTCTCCAATTCGGTGTATACGGGTAACCGCTTTCTTTTCATACCGAGGTGTCGTGGATCCGCCCCGAATTCACGAATGGAGCTCGAATTTTGCCAGTATCTTCTTATTGTCCTAACACTGAGTCCATACTTGTTGGCGACATCGTTGCTGCTTACACCTCTGTCTAGTAAATCTAGAATATCCAGACGGTCTGCCATGCTTACATTTTTTACGTCAGGGGATGACATTGCAAACTGTGAAAATATTCGTGACCGCTTGTAAGTTATGAAGTATTTTATTGCAAGAAGTATGTCAAGCTCGTACGGCTTTCCGTAACTGACTGACTGGACTGGGGTGGTCGCGTAACCACGTTCGTAACAAACGCAGTCTGATTCGTTGGTTTCCGACGAATCAGAGGTAAGTTGGTACGAGTAGATACCGATACATACGGAACTGGTACAGCAACGAGCATTGCAGGGTTCCCTAGGGAAAATAATTAACTCTTTGCACTCCCCAATTTCTTTCACCTACCGATTCCTTAATTTACGAAATAGAAAGGGTTCCCAATAAAATGTGTTGCACCAGGGCGGAGTATGTAACAACTATAATTTTTGTATTACAAGTAGTAAATAAATGATAATATACATGTTCAACCAATTTATTTATCTGAATTATTTATGAGATCCAAGAGAAATGTGATGTCGAGACACATTTGACATAGGAGTGCAAAGGGTTAATGTGAGGTATAGAGAAACCTCTACTTGGTAAGTTGGTGAATGTTCAGATTTATAAGTGTCAATATTTGGAAGTTCAGAAATGTTGAATTATTGGAATTTCAGCATTAGAGAAGTTTGGAAATTTGGAATACTGAAAATTTGGAAGTTTGTGAATTTAGCAACTTGGATATATTGGGAATTTTAATAGTTGAAGATATGAAAAAGTTGAATTTCGGTGGTTGAGGATTTGAAAACTTAAATGATTAGAGATATGAGAATTTGGTGAATTGAGGATTTAGAAATTTGGAAATTAAAGAGTTTAGAAGTGTAGGAATTTGAAGGTTTTGAAATATGTAAATTTAGGAATTTGGAATTTTGAATGTTGGAGAATTTGGAAATTTGAAGATCTGGGAATTTTGGAATTTGTAAAATTGAGCATTTGAGACTCTGGGATTTGGGGATTTATAAAATTAGATATTTGGAATTTTGGGAATTTAGGAATTTGAGAATTTGGAGGTTTGGAAAATTTGTAAAATGGGAAATTTAAGGATTGAGGAATTTGGTAATTTGTGAATTTGTGAAATCATAATTTGAGAATCTGGGGGCTAGAGAATTTGTAAAATTGGAAATTTAGAAATTTGAGAATTTGGGGTTTGGGAATTTGTGAAATTAGAAATTTGGAATTTTTGAAATTTAGGAATTCAGGAGTTGGGAAATTTGAGAATTTGAGAATTTGGAAATTTGGAAATTTGGGAATTTGGGAATCTGGAGGCTAGGGAATTTGTAAAATTGGAAATTTGGGATTTTGGGAATTTAGGAATTTGTAAAATTTGAAATTTGGAATTTGGAATTTTGGGAATTTGGAAATTAGAGAATTTAGAAATTTCAGAGTTTGAGAATTTGGAAATTTAGGAACTTGAAAATTTAGAGATTTTTAACTTGCATAATTTGAAAATTGGAAACCTAAGGATTTAAAGATTTGGATATTTGGAAATTACAGAAATCTATAGTTTGTGAACACAGAAAATTAAGAAATTTGAAACTTTAGTTTACATAATAAATTTTTCAAAATTGAAAACAAAAAGTGGGTTGTTTCGCTCTCTACAATTGTCCTCATCCAAAAGAAGCCTACAATGCACAGGGTTGTACATATACCGCTACTTGCTACGTTGTTTTGTCTTCATTTAATGTCGCTGCTTGAAAACTCTTATTTGTACACAGTAAAAAGAAAACATACATATATCGTGAATTTTCCTAGAACTGTACTACCTGCTGTGCTAATCAACCGGTTTGTGTTCTTCACTTGGGTCAGCGTACGAGATTCATTGAACTCTACGTACAAGTTCAAATGGAAACTGCAGTGGCTAGAAATAGTAAAATTTGACGGAGCTATCTATTGGTTGCAATCTTGATCCTTTTTTAAAATTATACTATTCTACTGTAGGATCCACAAAAGGTATAGCAGGTAGACTTATACTATTTTGGGTGAATTAAATTTTGTATAAAGCCCAATTACTTAAAACATTTTTGGATCTCCAAAAATATCTCATTCAAAAAACGAACTGTAACATAAAATTTTGTTTTTCGAAATGACATTTTGGAATTTTTGAATTTTAAGACTTTTACATTAAAATTTTGGGATTTTAGATCTTGTAATATTGAAACTTGGTAGTTGAAAAATTTTTGAATAATTAAAAATTGTATATCTGTTCGAAATAATCAATATCTATTTTGTATTCGATAACCGTCATCACCATATGAAGGTGAAGGATAGATTCTTTTTGGTGAAACTTGATGGTTCGTCAAATACGTAGTGTCTGTCGAAACAATACGAATTGAATAATAAAACTGTTCTATTTTTTATTCTGTCCTAATTAAACCTTTACCTATCCTAATTAAACCGTTTGTTAGATTTTTCTAATTAAAATAAGGCCAAACACGATATATTTTAGATCAAATTTATATACATTTATTTAACAGGTAGTTTTCACAAATATATACGGTTTCAAAATAAGTTTTATTTAGTAATAAAAAATGGTTGTATACATATATCTTTGATTACACTGTTCAACACATATTTGGATCCTTAGGCGTTTTTTGTACATGTATCTGCTTGCACTCGTAACTGCAAACTGTATTCTTCTCTTAGCTCTGTATAGTGATCGAGTAGTTTTTCCTAGGAAAAGTATCAAAGAAAACGGTTCAATTCTGTTTTCAATTTAGAAATGGGTGAAATGTACGAAATAGCAGTGGTACTCATATTCTGAACACCGACAGCTTCTACCGCTCTATTATAACTGGCAGCACTGTCGCTGCAATAATTCTGCAATTACTATAGCGGGTAAAAATTAAAGTGACACAGTACTTCCCCTGCTTATTATGTAAAAATGTAAAGGAATACCTCTACACCTGAAAGTTAGACTAATTCAAGTCCATTTTTGATAACAAAATTATCTACACATTTCTTACATAAAATTTTATTACATAATAAAAAGAATACAATTGGACTTTGGTAAGTTTAATTTTCAGATACAGAGTTAACGCTATGTGACACAGTATAATTGTTTAAAATATTGTAAGATTATTATTCTATAAAGTAAGTTAGAGTAATAACAATAGTAATAGTGCTAGTAGAATTAATCCCTCAAATAAGCACCCCAAATCAGTTGCCCAATGAGTATTTTTGTGCCCATACGTCTCAAGTTTAAAGTTATTCATGCGGTGATGTTAACGTTACTGTTTTACCAGTTTGTTTACCAAGGATTAATAAATAAATTTTGTACTCTTTCTGTGTGTATGCATATATATTTCTTGTATAATACAAAAACACAAGAAACAGTAAAATATACTCTATTTTGGTGCATTTATCCATTTGTTAATACACATATGTCTCAATGAAGTTGTAGAAGCCAACTGCAGATTTGTTGTATGTAATAAAAAAATTAAAAATTTTTGCTGCTGTCTGGTCTGTGAAAATACAAGGGAGCGCAAGAGAGGCTAGTGTTAAATATTCAGACATTTGTATCTTGAAAATTAAATTACAAATTACAATATAGTAACAGACTGGACAATTGCAGTTTCTATACAATCTTCTTGAGACACCCTATATTTAAAGCTGCCAACATCTTCAGGTACAAAGCTTACAATTATATATTAGAGCCGTTACATTACAAATTTTATTTGTAATGTTTACTAAACATGTCATTCAATAAAAGCAACATTACATACATATATTACTGATACTGTGTAAAATGTGGTAATAATATTTGCGTTAATAAAATTTTATTAGTTATACTATGTACTTGCAACCCTTTATTCTACCACTAAATTAGCAGTAAACTACTAAATAGTAGTTTTAAACCATTATAATTTACACTTTATCGGTAATATATATACGTACAATATGTTCGGTTTAAATGTATACGCGCTATTATTTCTTTAGTTATTAAAATATAAACAAACTCTTTAGTTATTAACAAACTATATAAAATATTAACACACTCTCTTTATTTGAGAGAAATATAATAAAAGATCTCAACTTCTTTTTTAATTATTGTTTACAAATATATTAATATCAATGTAATTTTTTAAGTGGAATTATATATTTCCTTTAGTGCCATTTTGCTACGCATTTCAACGATATGTATAGTGAGTATATTTGAACAACGATTTATGTTGTTATTTGTATAAATCTTAGGAAGGAATGCCAAGTTCGATGTGTCATTCATTCATATTTATTGGCTCGGTTACAGCCCAAATTCCTAGAAGCATATGAATATAACTTCTTGTAACAATTTACTAATACTTTCTTGTTTTTATCGGAAATAGCTGACGTGTTAAACACTATAGAGTATTCAGAGATAATATCATTTGTTATGAAAGAGAACCATCAAGTGAACTAGCTTTTATATGAAACATTTTTTCTCATTTTCAAAAATTATACCACAGTAGTATATATAGTGTATACCCTTAAACCGAACATATTGAATACATTAATTGTTTAGTATGCAATTGGAACTGTTTTTGTTAAGCTTTCCGACTCTGTTTAACAAAATATTTTTTAATAAAAATACAATTAACTGCCTTTTATGTCTTTAACAGCATCAAAAATATGTATATATTTGTATTAGATCAGTTAAATTTATAGCATAAATTAATTAGAGAGCATAAGGCTATTGTATATATTTTAACATGTATTTATATCCTAATTTACGTTAATCATCCAGGCCCAGGCCTTTTGAGATTTCATCTGCAGATAACTTTTGTCCTGGAGTGGAAGAGCTATCATGTGGAGGAGTCGGTACAGATGGCGAAGGAGCTGGTACATAGGTCTGCGGAGGTGTCGCACGATTATCCTTCTGCAAAAATATAAATAATTATGATTTCGATTTATGAAATTTGCATATTTATAAATTTTAAAGTACTTTACGCTTACCTCTTTGCCATGCTTGCCAAAACTGTCGAAAGCAGAACTAAGCAGGGAAGAACCAATCGCTGAGCCTATTCCTGATAAAAGATCTGAACTGGAATTCGATTGAGGGTTAGTGTAACCACCAGAAGGTTGATAATTTCCATAATTTCCTGAAGGTTGATAGGATGGCTGTTGATTTCCACCACCTCCCAAAACACCACCAAGAATGGATCCTATGGCTCCCTTTAAGGGATCAGTTGGTTGACTCGGTGGTTGCGCTGGTGCTCTACTATCTCCACCACCACCTTATTCAATTTAGTTACAAAAAAGTTCATGTTATATCTAAATAATAAATATAGATCAGAAAAGAGTAAATTGCAATATTTTTTTATTAACATTAATGAAATGAATTTCTCAGTATAATATTGTATTATTTTATCATATATATTAATATTTTGTCTATTGAAGAAAAACTTATTCCCTATTTTAATCAAATTTATTTGATAAATAATATAAATATATTTCATACCTAATGCTCCAAGAATAGAACCTAAGACGCCACCAGACGATTCTTGGGGGGGATATCCTTGTTGTGCGTGTGTATTACTTTGTAATGCATTAGTCATTAAACTACTTGCTAAAGCTGCCCCAAGAGATCCAAGATTTCCTAAACCACTTCCTTCATTTTCTGCATTTAATTTAGAAGCATCTGATTTTTCATGATCCTTTTCACCTTCATCTTTCTTTTTCTAAAAATTATAATGAATTTAATGTATTTAATATAATACTAATAGATTTTTAAAAGTAAGAATGTAATATAATATATGCTTAATTATTGAAATTAAGTACATTCATAGCATGTGCAGCAGCTGCTATGCCTCCTGCTGCAACTAATCCTCCTATTGCTAGACCGACTTTATCCAAACAACCACTAAATGCATCCGCTTCTTCAGGCTTTTCATATCCAGGCTGATAGCCATAACTTTGAGGAGGGTTATAACCAGGACCTCCAAATGTAGTAGGGGGAGGTCCATAACCAGCTGGAGGTGGTGGACCATATCCACCTGGTGGCATTTGTGGACCTAATGTTGGATACAATCCACCTGCTCCTGCAATTATTTCACATTTATTATAAATTATTTGATACTTATAATGAAACTATTCATTAATATTGCTTGCAATACCAATTATAGTGAATTATGTCATATAATTACGTTATTTTTAAAAATAAAATGAAATATTAAGTATTTGATTACCTGGAGGCCCAACATTAACAGGAGGCACATCTGGCGGAACCATTGCATTAGGAGAAGGCGGAGGACCAAGAGTAACATTCTCATATGCAATAGAATTTACTTCTACATCACCATCAATAACCAAATGTGTAACTTTTTGGTATGGTAATCGATGATTAAATTCTGTAAAGTGTCTGCCATTTATAGCAATTTTATAACATGTATGATCACATAAAATAAATATTTCAAATTCTTGTCCAGGTTGAATCCACATTGGGCCTTCATTTTCCTCTGGTCCCCAAGCCATTGAACTAATATGATTTCTAGTTATAAATCCCTCTGGGAAACGTGGTGAAATATGGATAGCTATATCGTCTCTTGGATTTAACGTAGGTCCCAACTGATAGTTAACGGCAAACCTTACAGCATCCGCAGGAACTTTTCCTTGGACTTTTACCATTTTACCAGGTACTAGACCACCCTCCACCGCACCCACATAAGGAATTTGCTATTAAAATACAAAGGTTTAATTATATAGTATAACTGTACCGTAATTGTTTTTAAATGCTAGTTGAAATATAATTACAGCATGAATTTCATAACTGTCAAATACATTTGATTTTTTTAATTTGTTACTATTACAAAAATTAATTAAAAACATCCAAAGTATTACATTCAATAAACTAAATTTTGTAGTATACAATTAAAATTGCACCGCAAATACTGGATTTATTTTGGGTTAATGATAAATTTAAATAAAATTTAAAAAGAAGAGTAGTACTTACGGGATTTAAAACAGGGTCAGACATTTTTCACGTTTTATTATAAATATAAACAATAATCCTCAGTAAGTAAGAAATGCGTGTAGACTTTAAATACCCAGTGCCTTTCCTACTTCTCTTAAAACACTTCTATTTAAAGTGCTGACGTTTCTAGCTTAAACTGTGCAATGCGGCACAAACTATACGTAACGGGTTTGAACAAGTGACGATTTCTTTTGCGCATGCATTTTCAAATTCCTCAGCTACTGCTGCAATGCTGTAGAATGTAGAATTTCAAGGTATGTGGCACTGGCGCGCATTTAAACTTAATTCTATTTCAGTAATGAAATTAAAGCGAAAATATTGAATAACTAAATAATTATTCGTACACTTATTCGAATATATATTCGTAAAATGGCCTGATTGAAATTATCGTTTAAAGGTTGCACAATTAATCAAGAGAACAGTTATGAATCAGTTATGATCCATAACAGCATGTAAGTACGTTTATCGCCTACATTCATTTTGATTCATGCATTGTTTAACACTATAGGAAATTAAATAAATTGCTTGCATGTAATGGAGATTGCAGAGGATGTGTATAAATATTTCAGTATTTTTGATAAATAAAACTTTCGATATTGGTTATGGGTCAAGTGATCAATACATCATGATTTATATTCGAATTTGGTTTGTAATGGTCGGACATTATTAATAATTACTTCAGCACACATTATCTTATTAAATTCATATGCACATTTGTCAACAATTCCTATATTATTATTTAATTGTTATTTTACAAGTTTTAAGTTTGTCGAAATAAATAAAGAGGTAATTTAACATATAAAGAAGTTAATTTTTATAATTTTAAGTTTTCTTTTATTACGAACAGATAACAGTCAGTTTTATTACCAATTTCAAGCAGATACACTGTAACTACAAATGGTACGTTTTACGCGATTATTTTAAGATCCACATACAGGATGTGTCATTATAGAAAGTACATAGAGCATGTAAGGGCTAGGCACTGTCACACCCATAACAAATAAAATACAAACGAAAAGACAGAACCAGATTACATTTATACGTTTATATCTTTACTACGTTTAATTTTTAGTTAAATAATTTATCTATCCAAAACTTTACATGGTTAATTTATATAAAATTCCATAGTTATGTGCACTTAATCAATATAGTACAGAAAAGATGATACATATGTACAATATGTTACTCGATAGAAATAACGACTTTGATCGATATTTTCAATTTATTCTCAGTGGTATTTTGCACGACATGTTTATTAGTACATATATTTGCAGTAGATAATGGACATGTAAAACAGAACAGGTGTTTACAAGTATAGTACACAAAAGATATGCGGGTAATTAGTGTTTGGTAAATGTACAAATATCAGAGTGATTACACATACTTATGTATTTACGTATAAAATGTAATAGTATAGTGTATACTCTTTGTTACGATATAGTGAGGTCCCAAAATTCTTCAGAAGTAAAAATATGTGAAATCTGAAATAGAGGAGAGAAGGTTTTGAAATTTTAGCCAAATGAGTAAACAGTAGTATAGTAGTATAATGAAATAATAAAATAGTAATTTAGTTGTAAAAATTAAAGAGAAAGAGTGAAACATTATAGTGGAAGAATAAAATAGTAGAGTAGTGAAGAAGTGAAATAATGAAATAGGATAGCAAAATAGTTGTATAAAAGAATTGAATAGTATAATAAAGAACAAATATTGTAAAATAGTAAAACAGTAAAATAAAAAAACAAAATTAAATTAAAAACAAGAAGGCAAAATAATAACAAGATTTTTTTAATAAAAGAAAAGCTGTTACTTTTATTATTACTAACGAATTTAATGTATAAATAAATGAAGCTAGTTACGAAATGTTTGTGTTTAAAATAAAGTAACAATGAACCAACTGCTGCTTCAAATTGAAGCAACCATAGATAAAAAATCTGAAACCAGCTTTCCAAGAAAGTTTAGACAGATATAGTACCGAAATAATAGAATGATTCGCCGACGAGATCAATAAGTAACGCAAACCAACCCTTCGCTTCGCAAGGCATTCAATGCCTCCTTATACACGGCCGTTCACAACGGCTTTATATGTTCATACACACGTACGCTTGTCTTGTTCTTATAAATCTAGGCCGTAATAGTGATTGTATATACAATTTAACCCTTTATCTTACTATATCGACTTACAATCGTGACGTAATTTACGTTTTGCGCTAAACATGAATATTTGCACTTCACACAAACTAATTTGTAATACAGATGTAAACATTGTTAAATATTACTAAATATATTATTAAATATCACATTAAATATCGCTAAAGACATTATTAAATATCTCTTTTGCAATCGTATGTAGTAAACTTTTATTAAATTGCCGATTCCCTTTTTACGTTTCAATTAATTTTTGTCTTGTAACTATAAAAGCATAACTGCTAATTTTTTTTTATTTCTCAAACATTTTCACTGATATAAAAATTGATGAATAAGTTATTAACTTAACCATCAGTTAAGCATTGCAATAAAAGTATACGGAGTTGTTAAATAAAATTTAAAAGAATAATACAGTGTTTTAATAAAATCTATACACGCATATCTTATCGTCATATAATTTAATAAATAGAATAAACAAAGGTCATATTATGTTGCATAAACGTTTAAAGTGATTATATTGATTATCTTAAAATTACAGAAAAAGTCCCACCTCACAATACAGACAATAATGTCTTGGAATTATAATAAATTGGTACAGGTATTAATATCTAATTTCGAATTATAGTTTTATACAAGTTGCATGTTCCTACATGATTATACTAGTGTATGGTGACACAGTAATAAACTATTAGATATTTAATTATTAATTATTACATTTAATCATTTAACTGTTTATTTCGTATTCAGAAGCACAAGCAATATAGCAATAAACGCAAATAGTTGTACTATACTTTAAATGTACTTTCAATATAATATAAATAACAAATTTGCTTCAATAATTTTATCGTTTAATTTACTTATCTAATACGATTGTTTTGCAGGTGTTGATTAATTGTAATCTACACCTGTAAAATATCTACTAGAATTTTTCGACAGAAACTAAACAATCTAAAATGCCTAAAAGCATTTTTCCAAATCAGAAAAATCTAAAGAAATGAAAATAGTGTCAAGAAATTGAATTACAAGCGTCCCAGCATCTATTCAGGGTTAAAGAACAAAGACTTCAAGATTTTCAAAGATCCCGAAAACTTTCTCACAGGTTTCAGATTTGCAAAGACGATGGAACAAAGATGATAATTTTAATCGATTTGTTTGTACGTTTCCAGCAACGAAAAGAAGGTAACAATAGATAGAATACAACGGTTTATAGTAGTGACGAGTGTAGTAAGAGTAGTATGGTGGTGGTGGTGCCTAATATGTACTCTTTTCAGCCCCCGGCCGACAGTTCAACGCGACCCGTAGTCTTCAACGGTTGCTCGTACAATTCGAATCCGACGTACCTTTATAACGCCGTATTTTTATACTTTTCACTTTCCATCCATCGCGTTCAGTCGATCACTGAATTTAATATTTAATCGACGATCTTCTGTGTATCCAACGAGATGATTATTTAATAAGTTTGATGTTGATTGCTTTGTGCTAGCATCTCACTATGACGTTTTGGGGATTATGAGAGCTTGCCATCAAAACAAATGGATATTTCGTCCAGGATTATCTGAGGAAAATATAATGGTAAGAATCTAGCAAAAATCATAGAAGTAAAAATTTATATTTTATAATTATGAAACTGAAATAAATCTAGTCTTATAAATATAACTTAACTATAAAATGAGAAACTTATAAAAGTCCATCACACTTTTAAATGTTTGGTAAACACGAAATATAAATAATATTAGATACGAAATCTGACTAACGTTACTAAAGAAGCGTGTAAAAATTACACAACTAAAGCTTCGTAAACACGCTTTGGAGGGACCGATACGATAATTTTTTTTTTCTACTGAAAAGAAGGAAATGATAATTTAACGAGATCAGAGGTTAATGTAGATAAAGATATTTTACTGTGTATTCCTCAGAATATTTTTGTTCATTCTTGTTTTTTAAATTCGATCGGTAGAGAATGGTCTCGATTGGTGGAAAATGGAGCGCGAAACGCGTGTTTTCGCTGGATAGGAAGTACAATGAGAATTTAAGTTTATATTCCACATTTTGCTCAAACATTGTTCTATTCGAACGTTCATTGTTCTATTAGAAAATTGTAAGCATTAAGCACAAAGGAAATTTATTTATAGACACCGTTTCTCTACTTCATTGTTAAGTATCGTAGCGAAGAGTTAGCGTCTAAAGTTGCAATTTTATGTTGCATCTAAATTTCATTTCTTGTAACAAAAGTTCGACAAGATTATACGGATGCTGCTTTTATATCCAACCTTGGTTTACTCCAATTTTTATGTATTTCTTACTCCATATCTTCCTTTTTTCTGAACTTCCCAGAAAACGTCTACTGTCGTGACGTAATTCCTCAAGTAGATAAACCGTGTCCGCTTTCTGTCATATTGTATCTAATAACTTAATTAACTTCGTGCTCGCTATCAATCTTGAACACTTTATGGTCATTTTTAATTTGCCTTCGCTGTTCCTTGAATACTGCGCAAGAAAAGTCAAACATCGCCGACTAAACGAAGGTGTAACACAAGAAGAAGAAAAACTCGACACAGCTCTCTTTTTGCGTGCCGAGCCCTTAATTGAACGTAATTAGCGATCGTTTGTCTTTATCATTAGGTCATGTCTTACAATGGATGTAACTTCTCCAGCTTATTCCGTATTTCTGCGTTATTTCACCATTTCGCTTTTATCGGAACACTTCACGCATCGAACTGTAATTTTGCAGAATATGTCGGATTTTTATTCATTTATTTTAATATTAATCATTGCGGTTATAGGAAATTTTTATTTATAAAAAAACGAAAGAGTTATAGGACAAATTTTTATTTATAAAACATTGTAAATATAAAATGAAGTTAAAATGAAGTTATGTAGATATACATATTAAATACATATAAAATGAAGTTATGAATAAAATACTGTGTGAAATACATTATTTTAATAGTTATTTTTAATGTTAGTTTTGATAGTTGAAGAAGTACTGTATATAATTTTAATTTTAAAAGTTATGAAGAACTATATGTATGCAATTAAATAGTAACTTCTTTAACAAATAAATTTTATAAATTTTTATGAAGTTGATATACAGGATCGTTTAGGAAAAATTATACATTTTGGTATGACTGCATACATTTTGGTATGAAATTAAGAAATATGAGATTTAAGTATGATTGTTTAGTAGTAAAAAATCTTTTAGAAGTTGATTATTTTTATTTTTGTGCTATCAAAGCTTAAACAGTTGCTAAAATATGTGAGTTAGGCGTTCCACCATAATAATCAGGACAAAATGGGGGGAGGCCCCACATGTCAAGGGGCCCCATTCTAAACCTTATAATATATGGTCCGCAATACAGAGGGTATTCCAAAAATCGTGATATAAACGACCAGCTGGCGATTCCACGTGCGAAAGTAAGTCGGAAAAGAAAGAAGTCTTTTCATATTCGATTTCTTGTCTGAAAAAGTTTACTTCGAATACTCTTCACTATGTTTGCAAGAAAGTTTATTTATGAGGAGAAAAATTAGTTTTGCATATCTTTAATTATCATTAATTTGATAATTATTGAATACTAGAAAGTAATGAATGCATATAGTAAAATAAGTAATTGATATTATAATAGTAAATGTTGAAATATATTATAAATTATTATTTTTCATATTGTCAATTAATCTGTGATACGATGAATTTTGTTATTAAAATAAACAATGACTAATAACAATAATTTACAATAATAATAATTGTTTTTAATAACCATTTGTTGAATTAACCCTTTTCATTACCAGAAACAAACTTTTTCATCAATATTTTTAAAAATTATTAAATTCTATTGTTTGATCAATCTTGCAAATCCCAAAAATGTATTTCTGAAACTAAAAAGATTTTAAATAGAGAAAAATCTACTATTCTCATGAACATTTTCAAAATATTAAAATATTCTATAAATAATTTATACGCCCCACAATAAAAATAAGTAATATTTGCGAAAAGAAAAAAGGACAGTAAACGTTTTTAAAATGTTAAAAAAATTTTTATGAACAGTTTATAGGTCGCGCAATAAAAGTGAACACAGAAAGAAATTTTTCTGCAGTGAACAAAAAAAGCCGGGGTTAAACTGGGAAATCTGCAAAAAATGAAATCGATGAGTGCTTCTCAGAATCTCGAATAGCAATACAAAACACATAAATTTAGACGGGTAAATTATTCTCAAGGTACAACGAATTACGTGAACGATATCAAAAGCTTTGCTAATAAAGGCAACCATATGTTTTATGTGCAGCCACGCGATATTAGAAGCATCGATCTAACTTGAATAACAGATGCAAAGATAAGGCACAATGGCGTGATTTACCTTGAACTTCAGTTGTACCTTTGTTTTATCACACGTAAAGTGCACTTCAAACACGTGTAAACAAATATACATTCTAACTAATAATTATTAAAGAGGGTATAATAGCTTCTATATTATAATTTTGATATAATTATTTTGTTCTAGCTGCACTATTTTTTAAAAATTAGTTGAGGAAATATTTCTGTAATAATAGTTTCATTATAATAGTTCTATTATATTTTAATTAATTATTAAATTATTTTTAATAATTAATTAAAATATAATAGTTAAGTAAAATAGTTAAGTAGTATATTTTAATAGTTAATTAAAATATAATAGTTTAATAATATTTTAACAGTTAACTAAAATATAATACAGTAATCTGAATAATTCAGTTCTTGTAAATTTTACAAAAAATGATCGAACAATAAATAAATAAAAAATTCAAAATCATAATTTGATTAAAGGTATCGCGAATAAACTGCGATCAAATAGTTCAAATAAGCGGAAAAAATGAATCAGCGACCAGGTGTTCATGAAAACGGCTCAAAATGACACCTTCGTAATAGTTCTATCGAGCATAAAGGGTTCTTTTCAGAGCTCACCTTGGATGACGATGGAACGACGTTTGTTATCGTTCGTAATAGTATCTACTGTTCCCTCAGTATTCTTATCGTGTAATTTTGCGCATACTTCCGGTTGCGACAATCATGCATACACATGAAATACCTGGATCATAGGAAAAGGTATAAAAATTCTCAACGATGATGTGCGATTACACCTTCAAACGCACTGACAAGTTAAAACTGACAATTAATTCTAGCTGCTATTTGATTTTTATTTGTTTTATTTGTTATGTTATATTATTGTATACATTTCATTATATTATTACATACGTGATAAACATGACTTTTCATGTGTGATATTATTACAAACATGATTTTTGTTCATGTGTGATATTATTACACACAGGACTTTTGTTCATGTGTGATATTATTATAAACATGACTTTTGCTCATGTGTGACATTATTACAAACATGATTTTTGTTCATGTGTGATATTATTACAGACAGGACTTTTGTTCATGTGTGATATTATTACAAACATGACTTTTGTTCATGTATGATATTAATAAAAACATGACTTTGGTTCATGTGTGATATTATTACAAACATGATTTTTGTTCATATATGATATTATTACAAACATAACTTTTGTTTTTGTTATATAATAATTAATATAAATATTAACTATCACTAGAATGTTTTATTGTAACTTCAATACTCTTATAATTAAAAATTCTAGTTTATATTTGATTTTTGATATAATTTAGTTTAATTATAAATTGTAATATTACTGTAATGTTCATGTTACTAGGAACATTAGTTTGTTCATGTGTTATATCACTTAAAAAGTTAAAGTTTAAACAAGGTATTATAAATATATAAAAAATATATTAATATGTTTAAACAAAATTATTATTATTTATTTTTGAACACTCCAAGCTTCAGGTCTTCAAAAATATTATAATTCTTTATTTATACTCATCTGCAAGAATTACTTAAATTATAGGTAGATTATCAAGGTGTAATTATGAAATTATTTTTAACCTACATTATTGTTATTTTTAACCCAAATTGTAGGTAATTATATTTATCAAACAAATTTAACATAATTTGCTTAATTTAAAAAAATTATTGGAAAATTTGTACAGATTGTACCTTTTCTCGAAATATTATGAACAATGTTGTATGCCGTTTTATACATAAATAAAAATTGTATAAATATATATCAAATACCTATTATATTTACTGAAATTAATTTTCCTTAGTCTAAGATGATTTTTGAACAATATAATAAATATACTTGGCCAGAAACTTTTGACAATTTATGTACTTTATCACTGTACCCAACGTCTTTACCGACTTACGTCCGCCATTTTGAAACTAATAAGTACACAAGTCCGAAATGTAACTTTACTTTATTTTAAAGATCTGTTTAATTTATTGTTCTAACTAGAATGTACCTGAAGGTAACACGGTATCAATCACGTCCAAAGATGTCGGAGAAGAGGCCCTAGCATGAAAAATATCGGTATAATTAGAATTTTGATACTTATTTTGACCCTCGGTGATCTCCAGTCGGTCACAGTAGTAAATCATCATCCGGACGAAGAGTATTATGTGGAACATGAGGTCCTCTACGAAGAAGCAATCGCCGAAGCGAAGAAGATGGAAATTTATCCAGGTACCTATGTTTATTTGGATATTTCGCGCTTGTTACTAGAAGCGCTATATCGAGCCTCTTGTGCAACTTCATTCCGTGTCTATAAAACATTTTTACGTAGCGCGGAAATCTATTTAACTTTCCTCCAAAAATAACCGCGCCTTTGATCCGTTTAAACGGATACATACTTCGGTAACATCCTGGCTCCAGTGAATTAGCTTCATGAACTTACGTTATCGGTTCTTCACAGTGGATATTTACACAAAACGAACGTAAATAATTACATAACTGTAGTTCAAATTTCTGAATCTGTTCTTTGCTATTTTAAAACTTGATGGTGAAAAGGGTTATAAATTGTATCTTATTCAAACAATGGTGATTGTTTTTTCAAACAATGTTGTTCAAATATTGGTGATTGTTTGAAGTGACACACACATGATTTGAAATTATAAGGGAGAAAATGTGTAGCATATTAATATACATAATTATATTTTTTAATAAAAAATTTGTTTAATTTGAAACTTAATAATGTACAAAAATTACCTAAAAATTGTATGCTATTAATAACTCAAAAATTAGTTAAATAATAAATCTTGTTAATATATAAAAAAGAACTAAAAATTTAAGGCTATTAATTGATAACAAATTAGTTAAAAATTAAACTTTATTAATATGCAAAAATAACCTAAAAATTGAACACTATTAATTTATAAAAAACTAGTTAAAAATTAAACCTCATTAACATATAAAAATTAATTAAAAATCGAAACCTTCGGTTCGAACATTTAAAATATATAAAAATTAGCTAAAAATCGAAAGCTATTCATTAATAAAAAAATTAATTAAAATTGAAAGCTTTCATTAATAACAAATTAGTCAAAAATCGAAAGCCATCGATTAATAAAAATTAGTCAAAAATCGAAAGCCATCGATCAATAAAAATGAGTTAAAAACCGGAAGTAAGTAATTAATCAAAAAAGTAATTGAAAATCAAAAACGATTTGAAGTAAATTGAAGAACAATGCTGGTATCGTGCACATTCGTGACACGATTTTAAAACACTTGCGTAAAACCTCAGAATATTAATTAACATGAATCATACGTGTACTCCGTTTCGACTTAATGCGGTACATTCTAATAACACTGTAAGTCGAAGGTAATGGAAACACACCCATTAGTTTAAATAAGCACCTTTAAATAAATAGTAGGTACCTACTTACAGAATAGTTCAGTAATAAGGTCGCTAGTTCGATGCTTTTTAATTCGCTGGAATTATAGATTCTGAGTCATCTTATTTGTCATTATTTGTTGCGCAATATGGAATTAATCATTAAGTGAAATCAATTTATGCTAAGGACATTGATTTATAATAAATCACACTTTCTTAAATCTTAAAATTTCAAAAGGTATTTAAGTTCATAAATTCTGAATTCTTAAAGTTTTGATGTTAAATAATTTCAAATTTCCAAGTACTACAATTAAATCTATAGCCTCAAATCTAAAATTTCTAAGCTCTCAAACTTGCAAATTCTTGAACTTTCAAAATTCAAATGTTGTGGAGTTCCAAAAGTCTCAGAGTCTCACATTGCAGAATTCTTATATTTCTAAATATTTGAAATTAAAAAATTCCTATTTAGTAAAGTCAGAAAACTCCCAAATTTTTAAATTCTTAAATTCTCAAACTTGCACGTTCTTAAAATTCAAAAATTTCAATGTATTAAAGTCTAAAAACTCTCAAATTCTCAAATCTCCAAATTTGAAAATTTTTTACATTTAGAAATTCCAATGTATCAAAGTCTCAAAAGTCCCAAATTCTTCAAGTCCCATAATTCCAAAGTCTTAAACTCTCAAACTCTTAAGTTCCTATATTTCAAAATTCTTAACATTCAGAAATTCCAATGTGTCAAAGTCACAAAAGTTCCAAATTCTCAAATTTTCAATTTCTTCAAGTTCCTAAATTCCAAAGTTCCAAATTCTCAAACTCTTAAATTTCCAATTTTGCCAATTTTCCAAGTTCCAAAATTCCGATGTTCTGAAATTTCAAATTTCCAAACCTCAAGTACCCAAAATTCGAAAATCTTGAAATACCAAAGTAGCAAAACACCAAAATTCCAAGATCTCAAATCTTCAAAGTTCAAAACTTCGGCATTTCAGAAATGCTGTTCAAGCTTCAATATTCCAAAATCTCCTTTTAAAAAATAAAATTGTACTAAAAATTTCCTGTTTTCAATTTTGATAATTCATAAAGCACCAAAGTTTCTTAAATCTTACATAGATCGTTCAACCCTGCACTCCATTCTTTGGCTATAACTAAATTATTTCAAACTAACCACTTTCATCCACTTAATTGTTATTACTCAAAGAAATAACTAACATACAGTTAAATATATTTACATACATGAATAAATATAATGTAAAATAACATACGGTTAGCATACATAATAACAAAATTATAATATTCTCTTAAATTCTGCAGGTCCAATTCCAGGATGCAAACCTTGTACGGATTCAGAGATGACCTACTGTAAAGATGGGAGCGTCATAAGTGATCATTGTTGCTGCGACGGCAGTTCTAATAGTAAGTGTCACAATCAGCATAAAAAACGTATCGCATTTCCAAGTCTAAAGTTTTTAAATTCTTTTTTAACGAATGTTCTTCTGTTTAGAAAAAAGAAATTGGTATATACACATTTATAGAAAAAAAGGCACGCTTCATTGATTTCTTTAACCTTCATACACACTACCAAGGTTAACGTTCAGGATAATTTCACTTAATAATCACTGCTCGCTTTTATGTGGTTTTCAATATACAGATTGTCTTATTTAATCTTTCTCTGAATATTGTTTTTCAAGTATGAAGATACAAAAACATTTTCATATGTAATTTTACTGATGTTAAATATTGGTAAATATCGAATTAATGAATTAATGTTAATATTAAATATCGACATAATTAATAAATTAATATTGATAGTAACTATTGTAAATAGTAAATATAATTAATTATTTAATTATATTGATATTTACTATTAATTAAATATTAAATTGATTGATATTATTGATATTAAATATCTGATGAATGTTGAGTACTTAATACTAGGAAAATTAAGTATGAAAAGTTCTTTACGTTTTTATAATTAAAAAAGCTAATTGAGAAACGTAGAAAAATAGAATAGCTTGGGTGTTTATTTTATATCGCAAAGTATTATAACAAAACAAATATTACCTTGCAAAATATTATAACAAAACAGAATATTACCTTGCAAAATATTATAATAAAACAAAAAATCACCTTGTACAATATTATAACAAAACAAAAATTACCTTGCAAAATATTATAATAAAACAAAAATTACCTTGCAAAATATTATAACAAAATAAAATATCTCGCAATATTTAACGAATGTAACTAATAAAAAATAAGGCTATTTAACGAATTAAACTTGCGAACAAAACATTTCAATCTAGAGTGGTTTGGTATAAGAGAAACCACCATATGATGCAAACTTACTTTGAAGGTCGAGTGGTAGGGGGATTCAATTTAATTTTTGTAAATGCAACCACATGTTCTTTTTTATGCAAGTTCGTTCTCTGGAACATACGAGAAAGTAACTTATGCCATATGTAATATAACGTATCAAAAGATTTCATACTTATTTTTTTCTCTGTTACTTAACTGTTAATTGATAGAATCTTTAGAGTTCTCGAAATTAAATTTACTCGATAATAAATAATACTTTATTCAGAAAATTGTTTGCTGAAAATTGTTCATTTTTTAATACAAGCACTTTGATTAAAATAAAATAAAATTTTATATAATATGGAAATCAAATTGATAATATAATTTGTTACTTATTCAAAGCTAAAAAATATGTGAAACATAAAGAGTTAACATAACTCAAATTTATAAATGATATCAATATCTCAGAAAATAAAATTAATAAAAAATTTGACCTTGATGTATATGAAGATTAAAAAAATCGATGAAGCAGATCTTTTTCGTATAACTATCGAAATATTTTTAACAAATTTAATAGATTCAGATTGAAATAGGCATGTTTGCTTTCTTACTAATCTCCCCGAATTCCGCTCCGTTTTCCACTTGTATCTGGCATATGTAACTTTTGCTCTTGGTTTATTTACGTTAGAAATCGACTGAAAACAGCGATCGCGTGTAAGTAGACAATTCGTGCGTGAAAAATACACGAACATTGGCGAAATGCAATTGTGTAACGTTTCATGGAAACTTCGTGCCACGATAATGATAACAGTAGAATAGTGTCATGGAGATTACAAAAGTGTACGGCGGAATAATAATTTGTATGCACAATGTGAAATGAAATCGAATTTGTTTAGAGCTATTGTGTTGTGTGTATAATAATGTGTATGTATAAATTGAGGATGTGAAGGTATAGGAAGGTTATTATTAAACAAGAATTTTTTGATTGGTTATTAAGTTAGCAATTGAGAAAATTAGTAGGTTTCAAATTTGCTAAATAAGTTTGTGAGATTGTAGGCTTATATGTTTAGAAGTTCACAAATTTACAAATTTACAATCTTACACATTTAAAGTCTTACAAATTTACAATCTTACAAATATACAATCTTATGAATTTACAATCTCACAAATTTATAATCTTACGAATTTACAATCTTACAAATTTACAATCTCACAAATTTACAATCTTACAAGTTTGCAAGTTTGCAAGTTTACAAGTTTTCAAGTTTGCAAGTTTACAAGTTTGCAAGTTTGCAAGTTTGAAAGTTTGAAAGTTTGAAAGTTTGAAAGTTCGCAAGTTTGCAAGTTTACAAGTTTTCAAGTTTGCAAGTTTGCAAGTTTGCAAGTTTGCAAGTTTGCAAGTTTGCAAGTTTACAAGTTTGCAAGTTTACAAATTTATAAATTTGCAAGTTTATGGATTTTACATTTACTTATTCATGGGTTTATAAATTTACAAATGTACACATTTACCAACTTTTTCAACTCTAAAGATTTGGGTAGTTTAAAATTTTTAAATTAGCAACTGATTCATTTTCAAATTTATAAATTTACAATTTTAAATGTTTACAATTTTAGAAATTTTTAGTTATACACATTTGCATTCTTACAAATGCATTCTTACAAATTTATATTCTTACAAATTTGCATTTTTACAAATGTACATTCTTACAAATTTGCATTTTTACAAATTTGCATTCTTACAAATTGACTATCTTAAAATTACAGCCTTACAAATGTATAATCTTACAAATTAACAGAACTAAAAATTTACAACTCCAAAAATTTACAATCTCACAACTTTACAATTTTTCCAAATTTCAATGTTATAAATTTACAATCTTAAGAAAATTTACTGCCTAACAAAACAATTTTACAAATTTTCAGTCTCAAAAAAATGATAACCTTATAATCTCAAAAATTTTGTGACTTCACTTTTACAAGTTAACTTCAAATTTTCACATATCATTATTTAATACATCTTATGACTAATTTATAACTATTCACAGTTATTCATAATCAATAAAGAGCAATTCTATTTCATAAAAACACACAATGAGATCTTAACAATTTAATTTAACAATTTTTTTAACAATTTATTTACAATGAAAATATTATATACTAAGAATTCATCATTTTTAACATCATTGGATTATTAGTTTAATATAACTTTATTCTTTTTAAATTTTCATTAACCTATTACTACAGACAACCTATTGCTTTTCATTACAATCGTAATCATTATGACTATGATTATACGATCACTCTGTTTGTAAAATAATATAAGAAAGCTTGTATTTAATCAACACTCATTTTAACGTAACAATTCTAAAAATAACTTCAACTTTATTTCTATTACAAGACGAAATAAAAATCGACCAGGTAAATACACCTGAGCAGAAGTGTAACCACATGTGGGAAAAATTATCCTGTGCTAGCGATCCATTCTTGTTATTCATCTACATGTTAATGTCCAGATGGGGTAGATATATTAGCTGAGTCACACAAAAAGATCAATACATTCGTTAACGGAGACTCTCCGTGTATCATGTGTGTTCTTTATCAGTGTACAACTTATCAATCACAAAACTCTAGCACCAAAAATAATTTCATCTAATCGAATGTCTAATTATAATAATTCCTCGAATCTTTCAGTTGAATAAACTTTCTGTAGGTCTCAGTTTCTAGCTTTATAGATTACATTTTATCATATTATATTACTTTTTATTGCTTTATAAGTTATATTTTATGTTGCATGAAATTGATACTTTGTACAGAATGTAATTTTTATTCGTATCATTTACGATTTGGTTGACGTTTAAATATGTTATCAAGGTCAATGTTCGGAATAATATTATTCTGAGGTTTCATTAACAGAGATTATAAATTTTATACATATCCTTCAAAGTTAAATATATGTTGATTAAAATTTATGAAGCTTAAATAATAAAAATATGTTGTATAAAGACTTTAGAGGTTTAAATAAAGATTTAAGAAAAAATTGAATAAAGGAATTTCGAGATAAATTTGAAGAAAAATTAAATAAAGAAATTGAAAGAAAGATGTAAAGAAAATTGAAATAAAGGAATTTAAAGAAAAATTAAAGGAAAATTTAAATAAAAGAATTTGAAGAAAGATTTAAAGATTTAAAAGCAAAATTTCAGTTTAAAAAATTAAATAAAAGTGATATCAAAATAGATATAAAATATGAGACATAATTTTAGTGTTACAAATGTTTCATTGAGTTTATAATATAAATAATTTTGAGAAGTAATATTTGTATAAGAAGAAAGAAATTCACGTGGTTTTAGCCATAATAGTAGTTACTGCGAGGATAGAGTATGCGAATAACGACGATCATGGAAATAGAATTGCATTGTTGCACGCTCCACCCGCATGTGTCGAATACGTAAGTTCGTTTCGATCAGTTTCGTAAATTACATGTCTCTGCACTTTTCTATTCTTCCAAAATCAATAAAAACTCTTGGAACTAAAAAGCGTATACAGTTTATGTTTTTAATTCAACTTCAAAATAGATCTGTAAACCAAAATGAAATATTCGAATTTTCTGAACTAATTCGAAACTATTCATAATTTTGTTAAAAATTCCTTTATTATAATAATATTTAGTAATATTGTGTTACCAATTATTTTTTGTGAAATGGTAAAATGAAAGAAGTGAAACTTGTATAAGTAATTATGTTACTGTTCGATGACGATTTATGTATCAGCCAGAATATCTTATAAGTTCTTTTATTATTCTTATTATTGTGTAGTAACTAGAACATTTTACGAATTATTTTATTATTTTTAATATTATGTGCCAACTAGAATGTTTTACAAGTTATTTTATTATTTTTATTATTATGCACCAATTAGAATAAAATAAAAAAAATTATTTTATTATTTTTATTATGGTACACCAACTAGATTATTTTACAAGTCATTTTATTATTTTTATTATTACGTGCCAACTAAAAAATTCTACAAATCATTTTATTATTTTTATTATGATGTACCAACTGGAATACTTTCCAAGTTATTTTATTATTTTTATCATTACGTATCTGCCAGAATATTTTACAAACCATTTTATTATTCTTTTATTTCATATATTTTATAGATTATCGAATTCGATATATGTATATCAGTTTGTTTAAAGTCTCTTTGATACATTTTATTTTATTATTATTTTACTATTGTACATTTTATCTATTACTGAATCTGATATACATATATGTATTCCAATCTATTTTTGTTTAAAGTCTTTCAAACCTAATTTATCACGAATATTCGTTGATTTTGTTATTAAACTTCTATCCTACATTCATCAATCTATTGTTTTAGAGGTATTCCTCTTCGTTAAGCACACTTGTCGCGTCGGACCAGAAGAATGTGAAGTACAGGCCAAAGACTGTGCCGAGTACACGAGGTTACGGGAATGTTGCTGTCATTCCTACCTAGCTTCTACTTGTAAGTATAATTTTTCTATTCATTTACTAATTTCTCTTTTAAATACATAAGCACAGATTTGATAATTAAAAAATTCAATAATTACAGATGTAACAAATATTTTGTTCCTCTTTTTTTTTTTTAAATGAACCATTGAAAAATACGTTTTTTAGAATTAGTTATACACATAAAACAAAGAAATGTAACATGATTTATTATTACACTGAAATTATGTTAATAGATAGTTTCAATTTTAATAAATTATTTACAAAGATACATTTTGATTTCTCTTTTTTACTAATTGATTCTCCATTTTGTATGATTTGTGGGCTTAGAATGCATTTGTTTGAATAAAGTAATGAAAATGTAATATAGTTGTTTTGGATAAAATAATCAAAACGTAATGTAGATTTCTTTCTTTGGATAAAATAATGAAAATATTATGTAAATTTTTGTTAAATACAGACAAAATAATGAGAATGTAACATGGGCTTTCTTTGATAAAATAATGAAAATGTAATATAGACTCTTCTTTGATAAAATAATGAAAATGTAATATAAAGTTTTTTTTGAATAAAATAATGAAAATATAAACAAGAAATTAATTACATTAGTCTACATTTATTTACAGTTATAGAAACAATTTATTACATGGTAGTACAGATATTTATAAGTAAAAACAAATTCGGTATCGACCGCTGACTTCATTATAAGAACTTCATCATTTTGTCGCCTCCATTCCTTCCATTTTCTCAAGACAGATAGCGCTCCAGTTAGTTTAGATCTCAATGTCAACAATACGGATTTCCATACTTCATTCAATGAAAGTTGATGCTCAATTTTTGCTATGTAGCAAACTTCAGTTGGCTCCCTACCAGTTAGTGCTGCTCCATTACCGTAAACTTCACACTCCATTAGCTATATACGCGGTGGACAAAAATATGTGATTCAGGAAAAGAGCCAATTGAAGGCAACAAGTTTACAAACTTCCAAATCTTCACATCTTTTCACTTTCAAACTTCCAAATCCCTAAACTTTTACACTTTTAAACTTCTGAATCGACGAGTTTCTAAATTTTCAAACTTTTAAATTTACAAATTTTTTCATTTTTAAACTTTGAAATCTATAAATTTATAAATTTTTAAACTTCTGAATCGAAGAGTATCTAAATGTTCATACTTTGAAATTTACAAATTTCTAAATTTTCAAACTTTGAGATCTATGAATTTCTAAATTTTCAAAGTTGCAAATATACAAATGCATAAATATTCACTCTTCTAGATCTTCTAATTTATAAATTGACAGATTTATAAATCATCGAACATTAAAATTCTTAAATTTCTGAATTTAAAAAATTTTTTAATTTATAATTATTCAAAAAACTTGACTTCAATTTTGGAAATTAGAGAATGCGAAAATGTAAAAATTGGAAGAATTGGGAAGTTGGAAAACTAGGCATTTGGAAAATTAAAAATTTGTGAAATTACAAATTAGGGAATTTGGGGAATTGGGAATTTGGGGAATTGGGAATTTGGGGAATTGGGAATTTGGGGAATTGGGAATTTGGGGAATTGGGAATTTGGGGAATTGGGAATTTGGGGAATTGGGAATTTGGGGAATTGGGAATTTGGGGAATTGGGAATTTGGGGAATTGGGAATTTGGGGAATTGGGAATTTGGGGAATTGGGAATTTGGGGAATTGGGAATTTGGGGAATTGGGAATTTGGGGAATTGGGAATTTGGGGAATTGGGAATTTGGGGAATTGGGAATTTGGGGAATTGGGAATTTGGGGAATTGGGAATTTGGGGAATTGGGAATTTGGGGAATTGGGAATTTGGGGAATTGGGAATTTGGGGAATTGGGAATTTGGGGAATTGGGAATTTGGGGAATTGGGATTTGGGGGTTTGGGATCTTGGGTAATTGGGAATTTGGGGAATTGGAAATTTAGAGAATTTGAGAATTTAAGAATTTGAAAATTTGAGAAATTGAGAATTTGGACATTCATACATTTAAAAATTTGAAAATTTGATAAATCATGTATTTGGAAGTCTAATAACTTGAAAGTCTGAACATTTCTTGAACCTTTAAAAATTGAAAATCGCTCATAATCATTCATCATTTCTCTTATCACTAGAACTATGAATTGCAATAAAAGTATCACTGATCTAATCTTTCTGTATATAATTTCATTACTAACAACAAAATTTTGTTTTTTTCAGGGAAATCTTTAGCGAATAGTGCCGAAAGATACACAGAGACAAATATTACGAAGTTCCTGGTGATATTGACAGTACTCAGGTTGTTCCTATAGCCCATTTCACCGGTAACGTTTGATACCAGGTGTTTTACACGAAATATAAATTATTTTATTAAATTATTTTTCCACCGACTTGCGAAAAGTATACAAAACCAATGAACGTTTATACACATGTGACAACGAAACCAAATTGTGTATCAACTTACAAAGTAGCTATATTGTATTAGCATAACGAGATAATTTTTGCGATTTTATGTACATAACTTACTATTATATAGAAAAGTAAGATATATTGTTTAAAACCCGTATTTTGTACTATATAACAAATAGAACGCATCAAAATGAATACATATGAATTATGTAGAACATTCTTTTTATTTCACCGTCTGCCTTCATTTAACGCTATTTCTAAAGGTGACAAGAGACACCCTTCCCGTGCCGTTTATTTAACAGATGCGTCAGTCAAGACTAACTATTCAGGGCTATAACATTAAAACGAACAAAGAAAATTAATATGTTTTAACTATTTTATATTCAGGGATCCTTGATAATGTAACTTATAGCTAGACCAAAATTTCAAGTTGAAAAGTATTCAAAATTTGAGTAAGGTTTGTCACATTTGAGCTGTAAGTGAGTCACGAGTGAGACTCGTCAAAGTACGGGAAGGGAATAACTTGAAATTACTCTCTAAGTTGAATCATTTCTCCACAAGTAATTTTTTGACTTTTCATAGTAGTTAAATATATTCAACGATATCATTTTTTCAAGCTCATCTTAGAATTTAAAATTTGTGTATGGTATGCTTATTTTTACCATGAGGTGTCTTTTGGCGACTTAAGGATTTCATTACTGTGCCTAATTTTAAACCATTTTACATATAAATATATACCCCATTTTGCAGTATCATATCTATTATTATCAGATTAGAGAATCCCGATTTCAGTTGTAACGAAAAATACAGGAGTTGCGACATAACTTTGATATTCGCTTATTTTCTGCCATCTTGGATTTTAGTGTACACCGCTGTATTTATGTATTGTAGATTGAGAATTTGAGAAATTGGTAATTTGGGAAATTGGGAATTTGGGGAATTGGGAATTTGGGGAATTGGGAATTTGGGGAATTGGGAATTCGGGGAATTGGGAGTTGGGAATTTGGAGAATTTGGGGAATGGGGAATTTGAGGAATTGGGAATTTGGGGAATTGGGAAATTGGGAATTTGGGGAATTAGGAATTTGAGGAATTGGGAATTTGGGGAATTGGGAATTTAGGGAATTGGGAATTTGGAGAATTGGGAATTTGGAGAATTGGGAATTTGGAGAATTGGGAATTTGGGAATTTGGGAAATTGGGAATTTGGGAATTTAGGAAATTGGAAATTTAGGGAAATGGAAATTTAGGGAAATGGAAATTTAGGAAATTGGAAATTTAGGGAAATGGAAATTTTGGGAATTGGGCTAGAATCTACAACGTGATTAAATAATCTCTAATAAAAACACACGAATGTATCAATAAATATATTCCTCAAATTATTTACATTTAACTGATAATTTGAAATCCCGACAGTTTTGGCAATTATTTGCATTCCAACAAAAAGGCGTCAAAAGACACTTTTTAGTTAAAAGAGCTATACACAAAATCGTAGTAGAAATAGTGTAAATCTTGCATAATATAAACGAGCATATAGGATATTATTTATATACTCATTTAAGCTTTTTAAGCTTTAACACACTATTATTTTTAGATTTAAAACGTGAATTTACGTAGAAAAGTACGGATAATGAAGATTTGGAATAATTTCGTGATATTTCTGATATTTTTAAATTTAATAGAAATATCACATTAATAGTTATAATTTTCGGTTTGTAAACTTATAATGTTTGAAACATTGTATTGGATAGTTTTATTATGCAAAAATGTTATCTTTTAGTTTTAATATTAGAAATTTTTATTGTAGTAAACTTTCATAATTACTGTTTGTATTCAGTGAAGCTTCAGAGAACTTAATTATTTTTTTACTTTGGCAAGCTTTAATATTTGAAATTTAATATTTAGTATTTAATATTTATGTTAGGAACCTTTATTTTGGGTAGCCTTAAAATTCAAAATTCTTATGTTATGAAGCTCAAGTATAAAAAATTTTGATTTTGAAGAGCTTTAATATATAAAATTCTTACCTTGAGAAGTTTCAATACTTAAAATATTTATTTTGAGAAGTTTCAGTGTTTAAATTTTTTATTTTGAGAGATTTCAGTATTTAAAATTCTTAGTTTGAGAAGTTTCAGTATTTAAATTTCTGAATGTTTAAGAGGCTTCAGTATTTAAAATGTTTATTTTATGTAATCCTAAAAGTGTCCAAAAATATGACTATAATAAATATTTAGTAAAGCTTTTAACATAAATTATCAAGTTTTTATTTTGTATAAATTTTAATTTTGTATAAGAATTGTACAAACGTAAGTGTCTATTGACTAGACTAAATATTATATACCAAATATCTACACTATACTAAATAAATCAATCTATTAAATATTTAGTATAGCTTTTAACATAAATCATCAAGTTTCTATTTTATATAAATTTGTATAGATTTTAATTTTGTCTAAGTCTTGTACAAAGTGTCTACTGAACGTAAGTGTATACTGAATGTACTAAATATTATACACCAAATATTTACACTATACTAAATATGTCAGTCTACTAAATACTTAGTATAGTCCATAACACAAATCAATAACCAAGCTATTGTTATATAGCTACAATTAAAAACAATAAACAATTTACTAAATAAGCAATTTACCTAAAGCATACATTTCGCAATAACAAAAAATGGCCGTGCTCCACTTTCAAAATAAGGCACGTCTCTCAGATTTTATGTTAGTATTTCACTCGAGTTTTATATTGTTTCAAGCATGAACATTATCACGATTCCGCTATATCTCGGAAGCCACCTATGCGTTAACTTATTTTGCTTTTCGAATCTTTACTAAGAGAAGAAGGTTTGGTCCAGTTATAACGGACACCTCGGCTACTTGAAATTCTCTCGCAAGAAACCGTAGTCGCGTGTGTGTAAATGTCGCTTGAGTTTCGAAAGAAATTTCAGTAAAAGCCATATAGAATTTAGCTTCCTCGAAAGTCTGTTGTCTAACATTGACGACAAAAGTGTCTCTCAATTTTAACGGCAAGATGTATATTTTTGTAACAATACTTGGCGTGATTGGAGCAGTCAGTTTTCACGGTGCTGCTGAATTAAGTGAGTATAATTGACCTTGTGATATTTTCACGATTAAATATGATTCGTTGAGAACCGGTTTATCTTTTACAACTAATTTTAATTTAAATGTGTGAGGGTTTTGTGTGTTAAATAAGAGAAAATGGTGAGATAAAAGAAAGGCATCACTCCATTTTTTGGGTATTAATTTTCAAATTTAGGAATATGCAAATGGTCTGAAAATTTAGGAGTTTGGAAATGGTTTGAAAATTCAGGAGTTTGCGGAATTTTTGACATTTGAGAGCTTTGGTTTAAAAGTGTGGAATTAGAAATTATTTATACTTTTAGGGAAAACTTATTAAAAGAAATAATTATTGTGTCAAGTAATTTGAATTCAAGTCAATTTGTCATTTTATTGTTTCAGCGGAAAATTTGTATAGTGAATAATGTAATTGTGTCAATGTTTCACTGTTATGGTAAACGTTTTCGTTTCCGTTTTATTTTAGTAGAAAACAAAATATTTTTGTTTGACGAGTGATGGCAGTGTAATATACTCAGTGTAGAGTCAGGAATAAATTACTATTCTGAAAAGGTGAATTAGTATTGCATACCATGGACCCACACCTCTTTCGAAACTACAGTCAGTCACAAAAATATTTAAATGTCAGAATACTATGTGTAGTGCAAAAAAGTGTCATAACATAATTTATATAAATACTGAAATTAATTATGTCATTACTCGGTTAATTATTTGTGCAACCCACATACGACACATTTTATATATTTAATTAAAAATTAATCACAATTAATTACGTAATTAACTTTATTATCCGATAAACAATACCATAAAAATTATTAGTTAAAATTTACATTAAAAGCTTCAAAAATATAAAAACAGATCAGTATAATAACAATATTGTGGTCGAAACGTACGACTTTTGTGATCGTAAATCTGTCATTAACAGAAAATATGAATTTTTTTAAGTTAACGTCGACTAACTCTAAACCCTCGAATTGCGAAACCAGTAGTAGATCACTATGTTCTTTGTTTTATTCTATTACTGTAGTTACTTGTTTATACAATAAATAATTTGTTAAAATGTATATTGTACTTCTTGATGCATAAGGTGGAGAAAATGTAAGCAGTAGTCAAACGAGTGAAATCAAGGAGGAATTACTTCTGAATACAAAAGAAACATATCAGGACAACGTTGAAAATTTGCCAATCAACGATACTTACAGATCGCCATTAAATAGGTAAGCAGTCACTTATTTATGATATTAAAGATATGTTATATTTGATATTCTTCTACTTTTTAAGCAAGTATCGTAGGATTCCTTAGGGAGAAATAGTGATCTAAGAAAAAGGGATACCATTGCTTCATTTTTTAGTGACTAATTTTCAAAAAGATAAATATGGTGGTTTATGATTTGATAAATTACGAATTTGAGGAATTCAGAGATTTAGTGATTTAAGAAACTAGCAATTTGGGGAATTGGGAATTTGGGGAATCTGAAGAATTTGGAGAATTTGGGAAATCTGGGGAATGTGGGGAATTTAGAGAATTTGGAGAATCTCGGAAATTTGGGAAATCTGGGAAATTTGCGAAATTTGGGAAACCTGTGGAATTTGAGGAATTTTGGGGATTCGGAATTTAGGGAATTGGGAATTTAGGGAAT